GAAAGAGTGGAGGTGCATGTCTAGCCAGTCTTAGGACTTTCGATAATGAATTTATAATTTTTTCCTTATATTAGCATAAAGGATGCCTCTATACGTAAACAACCGTTTGAAATACCAGCGCGATTTCGTAAAAAGGAGCTAGTAGGTTTTATTCCAATAAAGTTTTTAATTAGGAAGGGTAAAGTTTAACCTACATTAGATTACTGTTCTAAAATAGTTAAAGATGTAGGTTATTCTAGTTTTAGGGAAATGCGAAGATTAGCTCAAAATAGGAAAGAGTGGAGGTGCATGTCTAGCCAGTCTTAGGACTTTCGATAATGAATTTATAATTTTTTCCTTATATTAGCATAAAGGATGCCTCTATACGTAAACAACCGTTTGAAATACCAGCGCGATTTCGTAAAAAGGAGCTAGTAGGTTTTATTCCAATAAAGTTTTTACTCCTTTAATCAACTCTGATTATTTTATAAAAGGGTTTTCACTAATTTTTGGTTAGTAATAAAAAAATTAACCTCCACAAATTTAAGTGTAGTTAAACGCTTTCTATTGTCAATACGATAACAATTTTAGTTTTAATTTTCAGTTCAATAAATATCGACCCGTTTCATTATTTTTTGAGCTTTATTTAATCCCTCACAAAATTGTACCAAATATTTTCAATAGATACATTAACAATATTCAGCGGTTAGAATTAATGGATTGACAAGGAAATTATTTCTACATTTTAATAAATTCATACAAGTATGAACAATTACTAACTCTGAATTAGCTAATAAAGATAAATAAAAGAAACTGATATTCTACTAAATTACGTTTGAATGTGGGTGTAATTGGAGTTGGTTGAATTAGCACCAATTTTCCTTCTTTTCGTTTCTTCTTTTTTGAACGGACAAGAGATCGATAGGCTTGTAAGGACATATTTTACATTTAAATCTAAATTCGTCTCTTTTATTTGTATATACGCCTCATAATTTACCATGTATTTATATATCTTCAGAAATAAAAAATTGCTGTAATAAATTACTCAGTATACCGCAGAAGTAAAATATGATCTCCTAAGTTTCTAGGTCACTATCAGAGCTTTCCTGTTACATAAAAATTTGAGATAAGTAGACCTAAAGAATAAAGCGAGGCTGGGTTACGTATAATTATGTATCATAAAGTCATGAATAAGCACACTAATTTACTTGCATAATGCATCCCTTAGAAACAAGAATAGTAACATGCTAAAAGGATTATCATGAGAGAAAATTAAACAAAAAGCTAACGGCAACTTTTATAAAGAAAGTCCAATTGCAATAAGAAGAAATACTGGTTGTTCAATGTCTAATTATTATCTTACTTTTTTATTATAAACCTTGGATAGACAGCTTCAACTGAAGGAAGTCTATGACTAACAACATTCAATAAGCTTAAGACGATTATCACTTCCGATATAAAAAAGAAATGAACTTTAAATACAATTCATTAGAAAACTGCACTACTGTTCGTTTCAAGGAGTTATAGGTATGCCCCTTCCCTTTATTAGGATGGGCCGTACCATAATTTCAAATTCAATCATATTTGTCCGCGGAGCTCATTTCCCCACCGATCATTGAGCGATAACTAGAAAAAAGTGTACAGTACCATTTGCAAAATTATTTAAACTGCCTCGTTAAAATTTAAGAAAATGCTTTATTTAAAAACATATTTAGCTAAAAATAATAACAAGTGAATTAACTTAACGTTCTACACACCTATAAAACTTTTGCTTTGTTTTCTATTGTTAATTTATATACATTTTTGTTTTAAAAAATTGCTAAACATTTTCGTCTTGTACTGTACGGTTCTAGCCGATCTTCTAAGACCGCCCATCGAGAGTTCTGCTCGTTCAAGCTTGTTCTAACTATTTTTGTCTTGCTCACGCCTAGTGTGTATTCTTTCTATCTTCGCGCAAATTTCTTCAAGGTCGCAATTCTAACAAATTGAAATGGACTGTACTATCATATTGATCAACATGAAATAGCACAATTCCCAGAACTTTGGAAACATTACTGGTATTTTGTAAGCAATATTTTTATTGAATAAAGCAAAATTTAAGGGAAAAACGGCTTATTCTGTGTATTTAATTTTTATCTATTACTATTCAACAAATTTTCAATATTCCAATACTTGTAAATTACATATTTGACAATAATTTCTCTACAATAGGTAAGGTAGACGTATTTCAGCATATTTACTTTTGTGGTGTTTGAATAGGTAATACTATGTATATAAGAACGAAGGATTAAAGATAAATAATGCGGAAAAACATCCTATCAGCTATGGTATAGAGCTTTCGTCCTAATTCGAATCATTATCTGGGATTTGTTGGGTTGGCAGAAACCGTATTTACTTAGTATCAACTAATTGCCTAGTCACTGATATCCTTCATCATATATGACAGAAATCTTCGCTTTAATGCTAATAAATAATAATCCCCTTTGCTCGTAATAAATAGTAGGGACTGCGGCAACAATTTCAGGACCTTGTTTCATATAATAATGTCGCCAACTGATTCTCTTTCTTATTGTTGAGTTAATGCGCTTTTACTAGGTATATAAATTCCACTAAAGTAATTCGAATATTAAAGTCTCTCCTCCTTTTCTTCCACAGGAATTGACTACTTCGATTCTTAAAAGGATTTATATTTCCAGTTGAGTTAAATTCAATATGATATCTACTTTATACAGTAAAAACATGTATATTTAAGTTAAGTTCATATTATTTAATAACAATTTGTGTCTTTATTAATATTAATGCAGCATTATACACATATATCATCATCATTACCATAAGGTCGTCAATCCTAAGACTGGTTGGACACGTACCTCCGCTTTTTCCTATCCGGAGTTAATCTTCGCATTTCCCCAAAACTAGAATAATCCACATCCTTAACTATTTACAAACAGTAATCTAATCTAGGTCTACATCTACTCCTTTTAACTCCTGTTTCTGTCTCTAATATCTCTGACTAGACCTTCATACTGAGAAGATGTCCTATCATAGAGTAGCCCTCTGTTCTATTTTCTTCTCTTCTTTTTTTTTTATTTCTAACCCTCTTTATCCACGGTATCCTCATCATTCGCCTGTGACACCACATACACCATTAACAACCTTTTTCGAATTTCTAAATTAACCGTTCGTGAGCATAGACTCGACCCTGCCCCATCCTCTGCTTTATATCCCTACTACTCCTTCCGTCCTGACTTATCTGACTTCCTAGACACCTAAAATCAGCCACTTCTTTTAACTTATCTTTATATTCGCTCTTATACAGATATGTATAAGTAATAATGTAACATTAATATTGTATGTACTTATCGTATACAGGGTGTAAGAGAAATAAGTGTCAAGCTTTGGGGTGTGTGAACTAGATTCAATAAACAATGATACGGTGAGTTTAGCAGCGTAGTTAAGAGTAAATATTTCGTCAACAACAGACGAAAACATTTGATGAAGTGAAGAAAATAGTAATGGCCAGTCATCGAATCGCCGTTAGAGAAGTTGCTGAGCACCTAAACATATTGATTGGCTCCTGCCATTCAATTTTTACCAATAATTTGGACATGAGATGGGTAGCCGTGAAATTCGTACCAAAACTGCTCAATTTCGACCAAAAACAGCATTGCATTAACATTGCTAAGGAGCTGTTGGACTCAACGATGCAAATTTGCTTCAGAGAGTTATAACTGGTGACAAATCATGGGTTTATGATTATGATGTGGAAACCAAAGCTCAATCAGCCAAGACCGAGAAAGGCGCGTCAAGTTAGGTCGAATGTGAAGGTTTTGCTTACAGTTTTTTTTCTTCGAAGGCAGGGCCGTGGTGCATCGTGAGTTTTTGCCACAGGGGAGAACGGTCAATAAGGAATATTACCTGCAAGTTACGCGTAATTTGTGCGAATCAATCCGCCAAAAACGCCCGGATTTGTGGAAGAAGAAAAATCTTTTGCACTATGATAACGCCTCTGCTAACACATCGTTGCTTGTGCACAAATGTTTGGACAAAAACAACATACTCATAATGCCACAGCCACCGTTCCCCAGATCTGGTCCCCTGTGACTTTTTCTTGTTCCCGAAACTGAAGAGGCCCATGAAAAGGCGACGTTACGCTACGATTGAGGAGATAAAGGCGGCATCGAACGTGGAGCTGAACAACATCACAAAAAATGCTTTTTTTGAAGTGCTTTGAGGATTGGAAGAAACGTTGGTGCAAGTGTATAATATCGGGTGGTAATTACTTTGAAGAGGATAAAATAGATATTCATGATTAAATAAATAATTTTTGAAAATACATAAAATTTGCGATACTTTTTGAACAGACCTCGTAAACCATACACATATATATACAAACGTATACCTAAAATCATTCACAAGCCTATACGTTTGCTAGAAAGCAGAGTAGGCATGAACAAATTATCTAAATAATCGATTATTTTTAGTTTTTAAAAATAACCGATTAATCGCTATAATCAATCAATGGGAACATTCGAATATCAAAATTAATCGATTATCTCAATTGATTACTTCGATTAATCAGAATAATCGATTGTTACATTTAATAATCGCCCAGATCTAATTGCTATAATGTATAATGTTACTCTAAGTATATAAAAATTTTGTATTTCATTTGTAATTTCTCATTTTTAACGAGGGTGACAAGTCGGACGCTCTATTATGTCTATAAACAAAACTACTGATGTCGGTGATAGAAAAGGTCGATTTTAATCTCAATTATATGATCAGATCACAACAAAAATCCGCCGATTCATTGATTTTTATATTTATACATATCTCTTAAAAACATTGACAGGCACTGTTTACAGTTAATGTGGAGCAGTGGAGCTTTGCCCGTGATATTAAGCAAAGTGCGTGATTAACAATTGAGTCAATGTTTTTGAAATGTACAATATGATCCTTCTAATACCCTAACGCTCTGATATCTTTCATTATCAATAATTGTTGTTTCATGTTTTCAGAAATTACCTCCGAAGAAACAGCAACCCCATGCCCGCTCGCAAGGGGCTGCTTGCGCCCCAAAATACTTTTCTTGATACAATTGCAACAAGATTTGATGGAACACGTAAGTATATAAACGAAATTTTTCGCTTGACTGCGTCCTTTTATGGAAAAGCTGGAGAGTTAAATTTACCTTTTAAATTAGCTTTTATTGTATTTTGTATCCGCTATTCTCTTTCTAATGAAGGCGAGTAGCATAGCAACGGCTAAAATATTAAAATTCGTTAAAAAATAATTGCGGTCTCTGGCTCTTGGAAATTGCTATTTAAAATCAGTTTTTTGTAAAGATTGATATAAATGATGTGGGCGTTTAGCGTGTCGTTTTCGACTCCAGTTGAGATTAAAGAAAAATTTTATTGCTTGTTTATTAAAGTAGCCGAAAAACATTTCAACTCATATTAACTGAATTAATTATTCGATATATTGGTAATTTCAGAAAACAATGTCGATTCTTTTGGGCATTTAATATTTTGTAATAGTACCTACAGCGTCATTACCGACGTGGCTTCTCTCTTTTCCAAAATTCTTTATAGTGGCATGCAAAGTGAGACACGACTAGGGTTGCCAGGTGTCCCGATTTGCGCGGGACGTCCCGATTTTCAGGGTCTGAGAACGCGTCCCGATTTTCACCTCATCGGGACGCTAAATGTCCCGATAAATCAATAAATTTATTAAAAACCCATTATTATTAGAATAAATAAATAAAAATTACGCATTACCTATTTTTAAATTTCTACTAGTTCAACTCTGACTATTATTATGTAGGATTAAATTCTGACATAGGCCTACTTGCAATGTTAGTTGCGAAACGCAATAAATAAAAGTTTTATTTAAAAAACGTTGTTTTTTTGTTTGTCCCGATCTACAACCCTAAATCCCGATTTGTTTTATCTTCTGCCCCGATTTAAAACAAATCGGACCTGGCAACACTCAGTAGTTTCCTTATTTGTACACCCTACCTGAAGCACGACCTGTTAAGATTTATGTGACCTTGATATGGATATCTTTACTAAACATTTCTTTGTTGTTGTCTTTTCCTACTATTAACCAGTACAGAGTAACCGAAAGAAGAACTCATTAGGCGCAATTGTCTAAACAAGAATAAAATTGGTCAAAAAAGGTAATATTTAAAGTATTAAAGAAGAATATACGGTCTAAAGTAAAAAAAATATATACCGCACGTTAGAACAAGCACAACATCATCATCATAGGGTCGTCAATTCTAAGACTGCTTGGACACGTACCTCCAAACTTTCTTATCCTTAGACAATCTTTTAATCATTTTCCTAAAAGTAGAACATCAAACATCTTTAATTATTTGTGAATAATAATCTAATCTAGGTCTACCTCTACTCCTCTTAACTCCTGTTCCTGTTTCTAATATATCTCTAATTGAAAGAAAAAATTTGGATAGGCATTACCTAAAAAGTGTATTATTTGTTGGCTGGCATGAATAATGTACTTGGGGTATTTAGAATTAGGTTCCTTTACGTATAAAGTGCACCTTTGTATATTTATAGATGTGCTTTATTACATTAACCAGTTTAAAACAATCTTGATCTATATTAGAAGCTGAAGGGATGTTGATAAAGTTTCAGTTTATGAATGTTATCGGGAACGTAACAAAGTACGTACATATCTCATCTGGCGTCTGGAATTGGGTGGCAGGGACAATGTGGGTGGGTGAAAAGGGACCGCCCGGTTGCCACAGAGAGTGGATATTTAGATATTCTAATAGTAGCGGCAAGGCGAAGCCTCCCGATAACATGTATGCCACTGCTGTGTGCCATGCTGGGCCAGCAAGATAAGCGTCGCGGCGGGCGCGGAGGTCTGCAGCCGATAAAGACGCTCAGCGTCGCTGTTCTGTTTCTCGACTGATAGCGTCGATAGCGGATAGAGAAGGCAAGTGCGAAGGGTGAAGGGGGAATGAAGGGTAAAAAGGAAATAATAAAGCAATGTCGCCTGTTCCGTCCCGCCAATAATAAACGGTCACTTGGAACTGCTTTGTTTTTTGTTTAGATTATACTTTAAACATCTAGATAATAAAAAGGGTAAAGGATACATATAAGGGATGATTTAATTCTGTAGCTTTGTTTTTTTTTTTTGATGTTTTAATCTTTGACAGATAAGTCGTCAGCTTACAACGTTTTATTATTATTACCCTTCAATCAGCAATAGAATAAGTGTGAATATCGCTTAACATTGCCTAGAAAATGACATAAGTAATTTCAAGATTGAAGATTAGATCTCTTAGAAATTTCTGAGATTCAAAAATTCTTTAAATTTAATGATAAAACCACCAACTATAAACAAAATCTTGTAAACACTTCATGTTATAAAATTTATTAAAAATTCTTTGATAATAAGCAAAATGCTTCATTTATTTTAGCGTCACCAACTAGCGTTAAATTAAATTTGTAGTTAAATATCTAGCACATGTTTTCGATATCATTGGAAAACTAGGTTTTCGTTATCCATATTTTTACACATCCATTCTATCAAAAAAATAATAACAACTGATAAGTACTTAATGGAATTATGGTTTGTACATAAATTATTAATCCTTCCATTAAAAAAAAAAAAATAATTATGTTCAAAAATTGAATTCAGTATTTCCGCCAAATAGGTTAAAGTACCGTCTTGCTTACATGTTATAATTTATATTTACAAACACTTAACATTAATTTTTAAATTTAGGTTAAATAACTATTGTTTGTTTACGTACATTATCTATCAACTATTTGATGTAAAATTCGTAATTAAAAATAGAAATTAAGTCGTCGGCAAAGTGGTTTCATATTACGAAGTGATAAAAAAAGGGCAATTCTTGTAAAGGCAACGACAAGTAATCAAAAAATTTACCTTAGCTGGCATATCATATATATAATCTTAGACATGTCGAAAATACTATCAGAAACAATTGCTGAAATCTAAGTTGTCCAAAAAAGTAATCCGTGCTATTTCAATTAATCCTAGGTACCATTAGGATTATGATTTGTATCCACTGTAATTCGTAAATACATCAGAAAAAAACCAACATCCGTAAAAAAGATGAAATTATTTGATATACATATAGTTATGACATGAAACTGCCGGAACAGAATAATTTCAAATCGTTGAAATTTCTCGCTAGTAAGGATTACGGTGAAACAAATCATAAACGAACTCAAGTCAGATCGCAGTGTTATTAAACGCAACACATCGACATTATTCAATCATTGAAAATTTATGGTTCGCGTACCCATTCACACCTATTTGTTACCTAAATAAAAAGTTCAGCAACCGTGGATGCAGATCGATCGTCCGATTTGTCACTTGATTTTATTTTTCATGAGTAGATCCCATAGTGCAGGGTCGAGTCGCCTTTAATAAAAAGAAGTCACATCTATACTCGCGAATGATTAATTTAGAAATTCGGAAAAAGATTGTTAAAGGTGTATGTTTGAAGCGCAGCACTGTATGGGTGTGAAACATGGACGGTGGACGCGGCGGAAAAGGAAAGGTTAGAAGAGTTTGAAATGTGGTGTTATCGGCGAATGATGACGATACCGCGGATAGAGAAGGTTGGAAATGAAGAGGTATTAGAAAGAGTAGGAGAACAGAGGACTGTATGGGAGTCAGTAAGAAATAGGCGAGATAGGTTAGTAGGACATCTTCTCAGGCATGAAGGTCTAGTCAGAAACATATTAGAGGCAGAAACGGAAGTTAGGAGGGGTAGAGGTAGACCTAGATTAGATAACTGTTCTCAAATAGTTAAGGATGTGGGTTGTTCTAGTTCTAGAGAAATGCGAAGATTAGCTCAGGATAGGAAAGAGTGGAGGTACGTGTCCAATCAGTCTTAGAAAGAATAGGAGAACAGAGGACTCTAAGGAAGTTATTAAAAATAGGCGAGATATGTTGGTAGAGGACACCTTCTTAGGCATGAAGGTCTAGTCAGAGGCGTATTAGAGACAGAAATAGGAGTTAAGAGGAGTAGAGGTAGACCTAGATTAGATTACTGTTAGCCAATAGTTAAGGATATGGATTGTTCTAGTTTGAGGGAAATACGAAGATTAGCTGAGGACGACCTTATAGGGGTGGGTGAAGTAGATCCTATATAAACGACTCAAGTACTACTATCAATACCAAAAAAAAAATGAACAAATGTAACATGAGAGATAAGTGAGGGTAGCAATTAGCAGAAGGGAAGATCTAATAATGGCTAGAAGATGTCACGTAGGTGGACAATATGAACATGACAACTGTACCACTTTCAGGCAGAAATCTTCAAGTTCAAGATTATACTATTAACACCCGATCGAAGATAAGTCACATTTCCTCGTTGGCCTACTTGTCAGGAAATGGCTGCACATGCATTTTATTCGACGATATGCACCACACACCAGGGCCGAGACGACGACGCCGATGCCACACGAGGCGCCTGAGTACCATCGATTATATTTATTGCTCAAGTTGCTGGCAACTTTTATTGTTCTTGCCACCTTCCACATGTTTTATCTTGAAACTTACAACACGAGATCGTGCCGGAGTTACAAGTTCGCTCACTTCGACTCGCTTCCTTTTCTCCATGCTCTCTAGCCCCGAGATCAAAACTTATGACATAGTGCAATGTTTTACGTATAATGCACCTACATACGTACGTATGTGTGTACGTACACTGCGCGAATCTGGTCGAACCATCTTCGGACAACAAACATCTTTAGTGATCACTTTTTGGCCTCAAGATATATACAATTTAGATCGGTTCTCGCGACTACAGTTGCTTTCTCAGGAAAATATGTAATCAATAAATTCGAAGATGCCACGTCACAGATAGACACCCATAAAACAGTTAAAAACTTATCAGCGTCAAATCAGAAATGCGAAAGTAGATTAATACAGTAAGGAAGCAATCAAGTGTCACGTAAGCGGAATTTTACCGATTTTAAATTTCCCCTTTATAAAAATACTAAATAATCTTCGCAGTATGATGCGTGGTGA